AACAAATATTTTGCCAAGGTCACCCCAGACTACCGTTTGATGAACTCTTTTGTAGAACGGCCAGGTAGAACACGTATAAAACGGAACCCCTACGTTGAAGCCGCTGAAAACGCACAGTCTCGACTCGCAGAGAAAAGCTAACACAGAGGGCGGCCAGGCAAGGGCGGATCCGGGGGGGGGGTCAAAGGGGGCCATGCCCCCCCCCAAAAAAACCCATTTTTTTTTATGTGACATCGCAATAAAGGCAGGCAATGAGTACACCATCGTTTCCTCAAAAAACATTGGTTAAAGTGGTCAGAAATTGCCTCAGATCGCACCACAGAGCATCTAGAATCCAAAGATTTTTCGGGGTCCTTGAGCGGGCCCCGAACCCCACACCGTAATTTTTTTGACCCACTTTTTGGGGGGACCAAAAGATTTTTTGGCCCCCCCCCCTAAAAAAAAATTGTGTTCTGGATCCGCCCTTGCCAGGCAGTCAACGTGAAAGCGCACACGACGGCAAATTCCTGTGCAAAACGCAGTCACGAAAAATCGACGAAACGGATCGCCGGTCCGTAAGGGAAAATTAGGACGACCCCAAGTGTCCGACCCGGCGGAAGATACCCTCCGCATTTTTCCACGGACGTGGAGCCATTTTGGCGCCGCGGGAGACCGCGGTCTCGGATCCTTTCAGGAGCAAACATCATCTCGGAGGCCGAGTAAACTTGCTCTTATATATATAGATTACTTGGAACTATACCGTGGATTTCTTTGTAGATTGTGCATAGTCGAGCACTGTTGCGTCTTTCTTCCAAAGGGTCCCAGCCTAGCTCTTTGAGCATTGCAGTAACTGTAGTCCCTCAAGACAAACCTGGCTGCTCGTCTCTGAACAGTTTCAAGCACGCTGATGATGTTCAATTGGTGGGGGTCCCATATGACTTGACAATATTCCAGTAACAAGTGCTTTATATGCTATTTCTTTTGTGTGTTTATCACAGCTGGACAATGTTTTTTGGAGTAGACCGAGGGTTCTGTTTGTTTTGACTGCAATTTGGTTTATGTGTCTATTCCAAGTCATATCAGAAGAAAGTTCGACTCCCAAGTATGTGTGATGATCGACTTCGTTAAGTATATCATCACCCATCCTGTACTGGTTGGAGTTTTGTTTCCGTTTATGTGTCAGTCGCACGGAGAAGCATTTGGACCGATTAAAACCCATTTGCCAGGTAAATTCCCAAGTACATAGGTGATGGTCGATGTCCTTTTGCAGGATTTTAGAGTCCTCATGAGACTTTATTTCCCGATACAGAATGCAGTCATCAGCAAAAAGTCTGACGCATGATGATAGTTCGTTCGGCAGATCGTTGATGTAAACTAAATAATATACAATTAAGGGCCCTGGCACTGTTCCCTGTGGGACCCCTGACAGAACTGGTGATGGTTGTGAAGATTCGCCATCAACGACCACCTTCTGGTGTCGTTTGGTGAGAAAGCAGTCAATGCAAGTATGAATGTTGTTCCGGATTCTTAAGTGATTAAATTTGGCCAGAGGTCTGTGATGAGGAATAGTATCAAAGGCTTTGCTTAAGTCCATGATGAGATCCATTTGACTGCGATTATCTAAGGTTATTTGTAGGTCGTTGGCCAAAGCTGACAGTTGTGTTTCACAGGACCTGCGTTTTCTAAAACCATGCTGTTGGTCGGCTAGAATCCCATGCTGTTCAAAGTGACCCATGATAGGGCCATGAATAATGTGTTCAAGCATCTTGCAGATAATTGATGTTAAAGAAACTGGGCGATAATTTGCAGGATCCGACCGGTCATTTTTCTTATGGATGGGTGTGATGTTTGCAGTCAACAAGTCGGAAGGCAAAGTTCCAGTCGAGATGGATTTATGGAAAAGTTTCTTGAGTATTGGTCCTATGCTTGTCTTGCCGCTTAGTTCAGCACAGAGCTGTTATACCGTCTGTGCCTGGTGCTTTGTGAGGTTTTAAGTCAGCCAGTAGTTTCTGAATTCCCTCTGTGGTGAAGACCTGGTCGGAGATGTCAGGAAAACGGCTTTCACCTAGGTTTGGGATGTTGGTTCGATCTTTCACATGTAAATACTGAGCAGAATTTGTGTTTTAGTGCATCAGCTTTATCTTTTGCACTTGAGATGATACGGTTTGCAATGTGAAGTGGTGAGACACCAGACACTTCCTGCTTCTTGGACTTAACATAGTTCCAAAATGGTTTGGTGTTTTCTGATTTAAGACTGATTTATGACGTCTTTGATGTAGGATTTGTGGGCTCTCCTGATCTTTCTGTCAACTTGTCTACGGAATTGTTTTTAACTTTGACCAGTGAGAGGTAGTACCATGCTTTCTTGCTCGGTTGTAACTGAGTCGCTTCTTAATGTTTATGTCCCGTTTGATGGAACTTTAACCCAGGGGTAGGTAAATCGGGGGGAGCTCATTTGAGATGGAATATGCTTATCAATAGAGCTCTTCGTGGGTTCCTTGAATGAGGTGAATAGTTCATCAATGTTGTGAGGGTTCAGTATATCACCTGTTAGTCCTTTGTTGAATTTTGACATGTCTTCATCTACACCAGCACAATTTACCTTGCTGTAGAACAACACTTTACGCTTCGGTGGTCTGGACTCGGATCTTGGGGTTGATTTTCACTCCCACGATGACCATAATCGTGGTCACTAATTCGGCACTGGATACCCGAACGTAGTCTACAGATGATGGGCAATTGGTGAGGCATAAGTCGAGGATGTTTTGATCCCTCGACGGCTTTTTCACTAGCTGATGAAGACTGTGATCATCAAGTATGTCACTCATTAACTTGCTGATAGCTGGGTACTGGCCAATGTCTGATCTTGCAAGACTGTCGAGTACAAAATCTGATATAAGAGCACGGTGTGTGAGAAACCAGGTGTTGCACGATTCACATAACATACATTTACATTCTTACCTTCACAACACGGTGATTTGGGTAGTCTAGGTCGAACGGAATTGAACGGAACTATAAGCTCACAGTCCTGTGCACGACTTCCATCCATATTTTTTACAAACCCTCCAGTTCATGGCCCACAGTATGCTCAAATACTGAAGATTTTGAGGGTATGCAAATCGTGATTTGGCCGACGTAGGCAATTTCGGACCGATTTACTGGTTTGCAACCTTAAAAGCTCTTATCTACGAGCGTATCGTGTTTGTTTTTTCACGTTTTACATGAATTTAGATTTTTTTTAATGATTTTTTTTAAATATCAACTGATTGAAATCGTGATTTAAATCAGTGTTTAAATAAAACAACACTGAGCTGAACAACGAAGAAGGAATGTTTTTTTATCACAGTCTATTCGAGTAGATGTTGACCCGTGTGACTTGTTGACAACTCCGATTGTCGCGTCGAGTCCAACAAAATGGTTCTAACAAAAATGTGTCCAATCTGTCGAGCTTTATTCGATGTTATTTTCTTACAGAAAGACAAAACAATTTCATTAAATTCAACTAAATTAGCTACCGATATCATTAAAATACATTACTTTAATCAGCGGGCGGATTAGCGAATTAAATATTCAAACTTACACTTAGTTTATTAACTTTATAAATATTTCACACTTTTAATATGTACATATATAACCTAAATGATCAGATCTCACGAACGAGTCTTAAGGTCCTTTTTTCACTCATTTCTTGTCATATTCACAGTAGAATAAACATACTCGGTCCTGAGAAAATGGCTGATGCCTTCTTAATCTATATGATTTCTTTTTCACCTTGGCCCAAAACTACTGTTGCAAACAAAAAACAGTTAGTTTTGGGCGTGCACGTAATTGTCTTGACTGGACTGCCAGTCGATCCATAATGATGAACTCATTCAGGGGAAAGCAACTCCTATCATTCTAATCTGTTGCAAGTCTCAGGAAATCCAGGGTGATTTATAGTTTGGTGCGAGAGATCTAAAATGCCAGACAGCTTTTTTTTCCCCCTGATGACGTAAACCATGATGTCTGAGGCAAATTTCAAGGAAAAAACCCTGGGTGTGCACTGAAAGGTCATACTCTCCAATGAGAAAAAGCTGGGTGAAAATAAATGGGTGACAGGGGAATGTAAGACAAGATAAGTTTGCGGTAGCACCATGTGAATATATCTCTTTTGTGAGTATGTGTGGTTCTAAAAAGAACCGGAGGGACTCAATGTTTCGAACAGTATGCTCTGCCCGTCGTCAGGAGAACGAGGGATTCCAACGATGATGCGATGTTATAAGGATGAACCACACATACTCATAAAAGAGATTTATTCACATGGTGCTACCGCAAACTTATCTTGTCTTTGGGGAATGTAAAAAAAATCCTGTCACAATGTGCAGTGTTCAATTTCTCAATACATTTCTTGTAAAGTATGCCTTTTGTTGAAGCTTTTTTTATAGCTTGGAAGCTGTATGTAAAGAACTATGATGTTTAATATTCTTAAAATAAAAACATCAAGTTTTCTTCATTCCAACAAAAGAGCAGAGGTTGCTGCAGTGGAACATTTCTTGCATAGTTTTTTTTTTCTTCTCAATGTCGTATCAGTGAAATTTCTTTCCCCTCCCACACTTTCCTAGCCATGTGCAGGATCATTCATCAAAATGCACAGAGGCAGATTTAAAGGGTGTTCCCATGGGGTACAGCCTCCTTGTCATGCTATAGTTTTACATCAAAGAACCCTCACAACCAGGTACAGATCTCCATTGGTGTGCCCTCCCCCCATGAAAAAAACCATAAATAAATAGATCCACCTGAGCTATGTTTTCAAAGCAATGATAAACATGTTGATGGTTATCAATTTTATCAAAATCAGTATGTGGCTGTGCCACGTTCCCCCAAGTCAGTCATCCCCTGCACATCATTGTCAAACTGCACAAAAAAAGGAGTTTCATAAGTAGAAACCTTTGACTCGTGCAGTGGCGCACCCAGGAGTTGGCTTGGGGGGGGGCTCACCAAAATTTTTGGCTGCAGAAAAAAATTGGGGTTTTTTTTGGGGGGGGGGGGGGAGGGCGAACTATGACACCCCTATTATACTACTCGAAAATAGGCCACATTCATATCACCAAGGTCAAATCCTGGGACTGAAAAAAAATTACACCTTGGGTGCGCCACTGGAATCATGCACATGAATGTGCCTTTATCGTGGACAACACTTAAAAAAGCAGTGTGAACACGCATAAAAATAATTTCACCACAAGCACAGAATTATCCGACAGTAAAATTGGTTTTGGGGTAGGAGGGAGATGTCATGGCATCACTTGCAGGGAATGACCTGTGGACTCAGATGGTGCCAGCGTCGTTGCATGCGCTGTTGACGTTCGTTCTGAAGGCTCAATCTAGATGCAAACAAGAAGTGTACAGGGGCGGTGCTTAGTTTCGTATGCATGATGGCCGGTCTAGATTGCACATAACGCATCAAGAGAATTTTACTTGGTTTTAGAAAATTTTGAACCGAGGAAAGTGGGGAGTTGAGGAGCCCATAAGGGTATCTCTCTTAGATGGCAATTTGCGTGACGGTACTTTCTAAATTGCAGATTATGTGCATGCAGTAAGTTGCCTTTTAGGGGCACTTTTGATAAAATATTTTTAACGGGGCGAAAGGGAGTTTGAGCACTCCCTTACTGCCCCCCCCCCCTTCCCCTTCCCCCTCCACCGGCATAATTCAAATGTAAAAAATACACACAAGAGAGAAATGAACATGCAAGACCTAGATGTGCTGAACTGCCCTCACCTACAAGTATCAACAATTTCCACTACAACGGGTCACAGGTGTAAGCCAATATTTGGTTCGATGAAAGTTCAATGCAACTATGTTGCAAAAAACCCAAGTTACCTTTTAGACAGCAAGTAGTCAAATCTCTTCTGTGCCGTGACATGTACACTGTATGGCTGGAGGTCGGTTGGGTTCTTCATGAAGGGGTCTAGGGCCGGAAAGGAACGCAGCGGAAAGACAAACATGTTGTTATCTGGTGTTTCATCCGATCCCTCGCTGGCTTCCTTCACACCTGCCAAAAGAGAGTAAGAATAATTATTGAAATTCTCAAGAAAGGAATGGGGAAGGAATCAAATCTGGACCCGATTTCACAGTACTGCTAGGCATACAAATATTGCTTAGTGGATTCATGCACTTCAGCAAAACCAGTAAATGGGAGGAGCAAGGGAGGGGCAAACTTAGAAGACGAGGGGCGAATCATATTACATGCACTGTTAATTTAATGTATATTTAACAAAATGGGCGTCATTATTTCCCACGGCCGGAGATTTCACCCTTCCCTTCTGGTGAGTGCTTTGCCCCCCTCAACAAAAAATCCTGGCGACGCCCATGCAGTTAAGTGCCAGTCACAAGCAATGTGAATGAATGAATGACAATTGGGCAAGTTATCTGTTGTGCTTTTTTTTCCCCCCACAAAAGACTGGATATCTTGTAATTTGATTGACTTCTTGTGACTATTATAGATCAACTCTGATTTTGATGTTACCCACATCGGCTGTGAGGCAATCAGAATTTCCGTTCCTTGGCAGGTCCTTGGCAAAGAGCCAGGTTTATGGCTTTTATGTGATTGATTTGAGATCGACTTGTGATTAACTTGTAACTGACCCGTGATTCATATTGATTGACTTCTTGTGACTCATGATTATAGATCAACTCTGATTTTGATGTTACCCACTTCAGTTCAGCTGTGAGGCAATCAGGATTTTCAGTCCTTGGCAAGTCCTTGGCAAAGAGCCAGGTTTACAGACTAGAAAGTGGCTGTGGGGCTTACACACATGTGAACACTTTATCCCTTTCTGTTTACGACCTGGAAATCTACAGTCACAACATTCAGTGCGTCCTTTCCACATTAAAAACAGGCTCTTTTACAATTCAGCTGGAAACGAGTTTGTAATGATACACATGCAATGGCAGTTGGGTAGAATTGAGCTCTTTTTTTATGCTATACTTTTACCGGGCAAAGTTGTTCAGTAACTGAAAACCAATTTCCTGACACTGCTGATAAAAAGGGAAAAAAATTTAAACAAATTTAAACAAGCAAATATGTGCATCAGATGAATCTTTGGTCCAATACTTTGTTTTGCTATTAACTCTAATAGTCCTGAATCCTCCAATTTGCATTTGAACTCAGTATTGGAACTAATTACACACAGGACCCGAGTTAGAACCAAAGTCAAAAATATCGGATCTTCCACATTAGGCAATACATTTCCTGGCCTAACAGACATCATGTTTTCCAAGCTACCTTTGACGTAGAGCATGTTTGCATTTGCTGCAGGCGTCAGGACCGGTGGGACCACGGCCGTCAGTCTGCAATCTGCTGCACGCAGCGCCACCACGCACAATGCGTGGCCCCTGCGCACGTCAACCAAACTCACTTCACCACCTCCACGGACCACTACGACCTGCAGAAAGAGAGAGAGAGGGAAAACAAGCGGGAAAACATGAATTTCCCTGGGGAAAACGTTGGAAGTTTGGATCACAGCCAGTTTGGGATATAAGCCACACGACTTCTCATATGTCATAGAAACCGCAGGTAACCATTTCTGTTAACTAGATCTCCGGTGAAGGAAAAGTCAAATCTGGAGGAGGGGGGGGGGGGGGACAAATCACTGTTGTTTCACAGTTAAAAAACAACTCTTCAAAATTCAGACTTATTTGCAAAAGTTGGTTGAATTGGCGAATCTATCACATATTTTAGTGAATTGCTGTAGAAAAGAATTATTTCACAAATTGAATTTGTCTTAAAATTGTTTAACTAAAAATAGATTTCAGACTTCAAACTTGATCCATCCAAGAGCCTTTGCCAGAAATTTGTGGCCATCAGCTGTACATTTATAAGGACCTTTAGTTCTCAACCAACGATTTTGTGGGAAATTAAGTGAGGGACTGCTGAAGTTTTTATGTATTCCATTGACTTTATGAGGACTAGCACAACACAAAAGCTTGAAAAACTCCTCACGACATTTACTTTGAAGGATCCTTTGGCAAATTGGCAAATACTGTAGTTTGTCTCAAAAGCACATCTTTCCTGATATTTTTACCTCTTCATTCCAATAGTGCTAACACTGAAAATGTTTTAAAATTCTGAAGTGGAAGGGGAGGTATTACATATTTAAATTAATTTTAATACGGGGAATTGTTTTGGCTGGGCTAGAAGGGCTAGCCTATTGTCCTCTAACTGAGTCATGCAGCTGACTGTCTGACTAAATACTGAGTACAAATAGTGGTCTAAATTTAGGTGTTTGGGTCCAATTAACAAGACAAGCCCATGTAAGAAGGCTTCTTAGACACGAACTAACTAGAACATGATTCGTACAGCACCTACCCCATAAACAAACTCTAACCCTCCACGACCATTTCAAATCCACTGAGAGGTTTTGGAGATTTTACAGAATTTAGTGCGATAAAGCCTAGTCACTGTTCCCTCAGATCACATGCTTAAACGCGTCTTTAAAATGTGCTACTGGTTTCCTGCACATGAAGTGCTGGCTTTGGAAGATGCAGGAAGGTTCCCGTTAAAAGTGCACGAGGAGTTTCATGATGTAATTGGCAAGCTCTTACTTCAAGGCGTTGTTAGTTAGACACGATCCCTTTAAAGGGAATATACATCATTTGCTTTTGCTGTAATTTTAAGAAATGGATGGAATTGGGGGGTTGGAAATATATAGCAAATATAGTTACACTGACTTTTTTGAGGTTTTGGGTTCGAAAATGCTATAAAAACCAAGAAAAACAATCATTTTCCTGTAGTCTGGTTCCCTGACTCCATATGAGAAGAAACAGAGCAGTTTACATACATTGGGGAATTGTAAGGTCAGGGAAACAGTCTAGCTGGCTCGTACCCGTTCATAGGTGTGTAATCGATTGCAAACAAGTGCGATGGTCAATTGGGGCCAGTATTTGAAAAAAAGCCAGTTTTTTTCCAACGCTGATCGCTGATCAGCGTTGGAAATTGATACAAAAAATACCACTTTTCTTGAAAATGACAGTATACCAGGTGCCATGATTTTACAGGATGCTTTACACTGTCATTCACTAACAGTCCAGCAAGGTATTTCAAAATGATTTGGTAGTTTTATTTTTTGATGTTTGCAAATGTTGTATTTTCCCTTTAAGACCCAGCCTATGTCGGCTTCCACAAGTTCATGGCCTGAGCACCGCACAGTTGACTCAGCCCCACACGGCCTACAGCCCACCGTGCACTACACCTGGGAAGGAAATACTCATAATTCAATTTCACTTCCCATGAAGAGAGCCGTCAACATTCTAAGATGGGCAGGTCGGGTGATTGAATTGGATGGCATGACTGCTATGGTTTTCTATCTAGCACATGTTCACTTCACCAATTCCAACTTATCCAGTGAGTTTTTACACCATACCCAGCTGAAAATGTAACTGAATGAAATAAATCAGAAGTTATTTGGGTTGTCTTGAAAGTACCGGTAGGCTATACCCACTTTTAAAAGTGAAGACTTTCTTCCTACTTTTCAAAATCATTAAGCTCTTGCTAGACTTATTCTTTGGTTTCTCGTTTTGTATTCCCACTTTGGTCAGCTTAATATCAGTTTTGTCTTGGCTAATTTAAAAACAAGTGATCCACAGATCGCATGTGTCGATTTTTTTCGCAGTCAATCCCTATATGTTTTGTGTTCTTCAAAAAGGTCAAATTTTGTGCATTTTTAAACGACTTCAAATGACCCCCCAGATGATCCTGACCTCCAATTTTGGAAGACTTGTGATGAAGCCCCACCAAAGGATCACTCCATCCAAGTAAAATCCATCAAATTGTGTAGACAAAGAAACATTTGAAGCATATTTGAATGACCTCTAATGACCCTACATGACCTTTGACCTCAGCAATCCCACCCAAAGATCACTGTATCCAAGTTTCATGAAAGCATGTAGAAGTTATAATTTTTTTCAAAATCTTCACCTAAACTTTAACATAAATACGGGGATACGGGGATACAGGGATACGGGGATACGGTCATACAGAGATACAGAATTTAGGACTGGTAAGTGTCCCCCAAAACTTTGTTTAGGCGGCACAATAAAATGAAAGTAATTTGGGTTGTCTTCAAAGTATACCCACTTTTAACAGTGCATACATTTTTCCTACTTCGCCAAACCATTATGTCATTATAAGAGTTTTCTTTAGTAGGGTCTCATTTTGTATTCTCACTTTGGTTTGGTCAATAGTTGGTTTGGTCTTGGTGACATGTTTTTGGCTACTCTTCAAGATCTTAATATACACTGCGTGAAAGGCTAGCTATTCCTGTCTGCTTTCCTGTCATCTCGCGTTCTTGGCATGGCATTTAACATTAATCAGGAACGGAAACGGATTTGCTGTCAGTATGTCCCCGGTGATTTACTGGTTAATATTTAGACAAATCATAAATCATGACTGTGGGGCAAATCTGTCATGAGGGCATAAGATGAATCATTATGTAATTCTGTGTCAGCTATCTAAGAGTACTCATAATTACGAGGCAGGGCAGGTTCCAATCCCATCCTCCTCACCCCAACCCCCCCCCCCCCCCCCCCCCAAAAATACTTCCCACTTTCGTCAAAATGAGAGAGGAAAGAATATATGTATCTGGCCCTTAAATTAAAAAAAAACAGAGAAACTTTAATTTAACTCTCCATCCTACCAAATTAACCAGAACCATACAAATAAATCATAACCATGAACAGAGTTAAAAAAAAGGTCTGTCAAGAGCCGATGTGGCCCATCAGGCCGGCGTTTATCTCCAATTTCAGTGGCATGAAAGGACTAAGAATATTTCTACTCCCCCTGGATGGGATGCCAGTCCATCGCAGGTTACTCCCCAGCTAATGCTGGTACCCATTTATACTCCTGGGTGGAGAGAGGCAAGTGGGGTGAAGTGGCTTGCCCAAGGACACAACATATGACCAGCAGCTGGATTCGAACTCCTGACCCTCTAATCATAAGTCATGAACCCTAACTGGGCCACACTCCCCTCACCATGGATACAACCAAGGCAAACAAAAATAAAAAAAATAATGCTTAAGTACCGGTTAGGGTGTAGGTCAATCTACAAAATGAATCACCAGAGCAATGTAGGTAGTTTATAGATACTTGGCGAAGATGGCTTTTGACATAACTTACTTTTTATGACATACCCAACAGCCATATGAGTTATATTTTCTTATTTTAATTTCAGTAACAATGAATGCACTAGGGGTCTCCTCATGCAAATTCATTTGGAACAAAAGCACATAGATACAATGTATATACCTCAAACATGGCAGCAACGCAAAGGAATAGGATCTATTCATATGACAAGATGGAAATTTGTGCAATGGATGAAACAGAAGAACATGCGAGCTAGTTCTAAGATAATATTCTCTTTACCATGCCAAATCTTTATACTATTAATATAACCCCTAGGGTTTTCTTTTCCCTCACTCCAGCCTAATCTGCCTTGGGAATTTTGGTCTGGAACTCTGACTCCTAAACCAGGATTCTTATGGAAAGACCTACCACTTGTGGAATGCCAGTCAGTGGCTGCACAGACACCACCCTATCCACGTCATTGCTGGATGCCGGCTCCATGACTCGCAGTGTTGGGGCACCCTCGTAGCCACACCGCACCACGGAGACGCTGCCGTCGGTGCAGTACGCCATGAGGTGTGTGTCAGGGGTAACTGAAGAAGAGGGGTCTCTGGGGGACTGAGAAGGGGGCAGGATGCCCGGATTCAGGAAGTGGACGTGAGAGACTGCACCTGCTGCTGACAGCTTCTGCACTGCCTGGGGCATTCCTGCTACAATGGAGGATATGAAGGGGAAAAAATACATGAGTGATTATTAAGGGGGCAACTTCAATTAAATATCCCCGCAGGGAGATTATTGCAGTATAAAGCACAAGCAGAAGCCGGAGACCTGATGAAGACCTCACGCTTCTATTATCTTTTTGGTTACTATATGCGTCTTGGCTGTGCCGCCTCCCCTATAGCTTGATTGGCCTACTTCTCCTGCACACTCATGCTTCACACTTAACACAGCACCCTATTAGTACACACGTAGATATCTACATCAGGTTGACCCCTACGTCAAAGGTTAACGTGCTGGCCATTATCAGACTTGAAATGACCCAGAATGGTGTTCAGACTATAAAGCAGGAGGGGCTTTAAAGTGCTTAAGCCAGTAGCTTCTTAGAGAAGCGCTCTCCTGTTGGAATCAATTTCAAGGAGGTGCTAAGCTTAGCACATTGCTTATTAATCCTCCTGCTATCCGAGCTAACAGTCACAGACAGTCCAAAAATCAATCCGCTTCCCCTGCCATGCCTTTTACACAGGCTAGCCACCAACAAATATTTCAAGCAAGCATTGTGACTAGTGAGTCAAATTCAGTCACTGTTTGTCACTGTAGACTGTTTTTTTCTCCGGACACTTAGACCTCCGAAAATCAATAGGTGGGGTGGGGGGGCTCGTACCATATTTTCAATGGGGAGCGCTGATAAAAATCCTATTTATCACACTGTATTACCTAAATCGTCTACAAATGCCCCCTTCTCATGTCTACTTTTTTAAGGGGGAAAACTGTTCCCATGTGACGTCACCTTTTAACATTAGCTATTAGGATCACCATTTTTTATATGGATTTTTTTTGGGGGGGGGGGGGAACTAGACAAAAGCCGGCCAACCCCATAGAACCACGCTTGGGTGAGCCTGTCCGTTATTATATTACATGTATGCCTAGTTTCAAACATTGTTTGAGAGAGTTAGTTTTTGGCAGATACAAATAGAAAGCACTATTTTCTAGATTTTGGTGGGGTTTTTTTGGGGGGGGGGTGGTCAGCAGAGAATAGGTAGATATTTCAGTATTATATTAATGAAAACCTTTTGGGGGGAAACATATTTTGGAGCAAAAAGTGTGGCAGGCTCATACCTGTAACAATCTTAGCAAATTTTTTACAAAAAAAAAACTTTTAAAAAACCACTAAACATAATAAAGCCAACACCTCCACAGTGTATCTGTAGTTTGTTTTCAATGATTGTTAGCAATATCACGTTTATAAAACAAATGGCGTACAACCGCTATAGATATGTGCAAATTAAAGTAACTTAACATTACCCATGTGTTGATCATAGATTGTCAGGGTACCATCTCTGTGGCCTACAGCAAGGAGCGATGTGCACGGTGATGCAGCAAGGCAGGTGATGTCACTACCGAATGGCCACACAATGTCCGGCTTGTGTTCAAGATCTTGACCACAGCAAAGAAATATTGGGGAAAAAATAGACAACTTCTATTAAAATGTGCACATATTTCTGCCATACGATAGAGGAAACTACTTTTTGATGGAATCTCACATATTGTTCTTCCCTTTGTGGACATGTTATTAAATGCTGTATGCTCAATGCTTTTTGAGGGATGTGATAAAAAAAAATTGACAATTTTTCTTAAGTGGGAGTTTAACCCACAACCATGCATCTGCTTACTAGAGCAGATTTCTATTTATGTACATGTACCTTTCTGAGAAATTCTTCTTCAGATTTTGAACCAACCAGCTGACACCAGCAAGCTTGGCATTCAAGTGTGACATAAGACGTCTGCACTGACAGGCAGGAGGTTATGGGTTCGAATCCTACCCAAGTAAGCTTTTGAGATTTTTTCTTTAATACTAGCACTCGGACTACACTGAGTGTAGAATTCATTATAACCCGAAGCCTTGAATGTTACTCTTTCTTGGTATTGATATGCAGTAAAATGTTATGGCCTAACACCGCCTGCTGTGGCTTGGTGAGCAATCTACTTGTATGTACAGCAAGTAAGAAGGTGCAAACCTCAAATGATTATTTTAAAATTAAAATCTCTTTATTTTTTCATTTAATATCATATAATTTCATTTGGGTATGGAGCTATAGCTCCATGCCCAAATACAAAATACAATGAACTTGCATCAAGAATGATCAAACTGGTTTGTTCTGCTTGCATACTGACGTGCATTCTTTGAAATATTTTCTGATGTTTTGATATATATACAAACGTTTCTAGTGGCCAGTTGTAAAAAATATTGGTCAGCAGTGCAAAACATGTAGCTGTGCTGTGCTTATGATCATCAAAAGCAGGTGATGAATAATTTTAAAACTGCAATGACAGACATCTCTTACTGTGACAGACTATAACCAGTAAATGAAGGTTTGCGGCATAATGTACAAAACCAATAAGTTTATTCACAGCAGCTGTCCTAAAGGGATTCAACACTACTTGAGAGTGCACTATAACCATTATGCCAACCCTGACACAAGCTGCAGTGCCTGATATAGCTTATCAGATTTAAGCAAAATACAGGTTTTACTTTTAGGTAAGGTTTATGCTCTTTAAAGGTAGGGTAAATCATTTGTCATTTTTTTTTGGTTTGAAGCAACAAAAGTGCTCAAAATTTAAAGACCAGTGCTTAACATCTACCTGATGAAGTTTTAGCACTGTGATGAATGCTGTATATTCCGAGAAAAACAAAATTCTATGATCTTGTTTTCAATTCAAAGTTGTCGAGTCATGTTTTTGAATTGCACCCGAAATCAGCATCTGGGACACGTTCTCATTCAGCCGATTCTCGTTCAGTGCGATATCACGCACTGATAATTTCGTCACTAACTTCTTGGATAGCTGCAAATGTTTACTCTGCCTTTAAATTCTGCTGCAAAGTTGGGCAGCCAGATTTGTCATGTCTGTGTCAGACTTAGCTATAAATGGCCAGGGACAAGACATAACTATAATTGGCACCATGACAGTGCCGCTGGACTTTACAAATCTTCAAAATATCGTGAGCAAGGCAGTGCAGATTATTTTTTGTTAAAAAACAAATAAACATAACATATTGTAATTTCCTGTTGAGGGGGAGTACTTCCTTCGCCAACGCACAGCCTCTTATTCATAGACTTCTGACCACTAATTTAATTGCCGTTACTTTATTTGGAGACAAAACATATTTAAACTTCCGGAAAATCAGATCCCAAATGACAGCCTTTGACAAAGTGAATTGAATAAATTTAGACTACATACAACTGCACTATAAAATACATGTCAAGGCCAAGCATGCTGTCAAATCAAGCAAGCCAAAACCTTGCGTACTGAGACAACGTGGTAACATAATAGCATGCGTGTACGTGGATGACAAATTGTTAATCAGTAAGTGCTGATGATCGTATTGGTCACTGACGGTTGTCTGTTTGTCTAGACCCAAATGAATCATCTGACCACTGCTGACCGTGTAATAAAGTTCACTCAACCTCCTGGGCATACCAACTTGGTTCAATAATACTTTCAAAGTGTGTCTGCTGTATTTGACGTAAAGAAACTTGGTCCTGACCTTTGTTTCCTGCCCCCATTTTTCGTCTTTCCTTGGCATATTTGTTCAACAATACAGGGTAGAGAATACAAAGCACATCATAGGTCTACATATCCAATGACCTTTTTCAACTGGCACATGACTGATTCTCAGCAGGCATACATTCTAGAAAATAACAAATCAAGGGTCTTAAAAAGCGTTCTATCCCCAAAATCCTGGCTATGAAAGACTCAACATCTAAGACATAGATCTGCAAGAAACAATCAAATATACACAAAAACCACTCTTTAATATCCTCATCATCTAACATAAGGTGCTTGACTTGAAAACATGGGTGCTTTCTTTTACAGGATGGATAAACTGACTTCACTCCAGATTATTAAACATGAAACTATTAGAACAATAAGCACTTTCATGGTAATATGCGCCATCTTGCTTACGGGGCCAATTTACAGGCGTTGCTGTGTACGCATCGTCAACCGAAAAATTGACGCTTCCAAGTCATCATGCGTTCATTCCAAAATGCGCCCGTGTTTAGCAATGCATGTTCTTTTTGCCCCGTGAACAAGATGGCACATATTACCGTGAAAGTGCTTATTAAGTTTACACTTGTACGTGTACTACTCACCTGACGTTGTTGTGCGTCGATCATTGTTACCTTGATGGCATGCGTAAAGCAATTGAAATGTTTCTTATTTCATTTATTACAATTATAAAATCTTGAAACCCTAAACACTTCCCAAAATACACATTGACAAACTGCACGTAAGGTGCATAAAGTTGCTCAGCTAGCCTCTAATAACCCCTGAAATTAACAGAATTTTAAAAGGAAACACAATTTGTCTTGCAGTCAAGCAGATGTTAACTTGTGTTTTAAAATACCTTGGGCTTTTAACTTCAATTACAGTGAATACTTGTATCAACATTCACTTAGGCATAACGAAATATAACTGTCAAAACCAATAAAGAATACTCGAAACATTGTCTCATACTAAACAGGGTGACACCGAAAAAAATGCAACCCTCAAATATTTGCCTTGTTTTTCTCAAAAACTTGATCTGTGAATTTTTTGTTTTGCATAAAATATTACATTAAAGCTGAGAGTTTTTTCTTTCAAACAATGGAAAAATCATGAAAACAGCGCATTGTGTTGCTGAGAAAATGCCTATTATGTAACACAACTCCCTTTTGGTCCACTCCAATGGCATTACCACAGTTAGGGATTTACACGGTACTTATTTGTGCATAAAATGCATGTAGCACATTGTGTCCTAATCCTTACAAACAACAAGGTACATAATATGACAAGAGTACAAATGAATTTGATGGAAATACCTTTTATTTTCCACCTGAGCGGGTATCTTATCCTTTTTAGTGCTATTTTAAATCTTTTCAGCATCATAAGTATGTCAAATATGAAAGAAATTGCACAAATGAAAGACAATTGCACAGTGGGCTCACAGTAACATGTTTCACTGTTTTAAGCACCATTGGAAAGTATGAAAAATCACTTCTTCTACATAATTGGCATATTTCTCAGCAACCCAATGTGCTGTTTTCATGATTTTTTTCAGTATTTGAAAGAAAAAAATCTCAGCTTCAATCTGATATCCAAAACATAAATATTCACGGATCATGTTTTTGAAAAAAAGGGAAATGTTTCAGTGTTGCATTTTTTTGGGGTCACCCTGTATAGGCTTTCAAGTTTTTGAAGTCGAACATGGACTCACAGTTGTGTATTTTAGGTAAGCCAAAGCCCAAACTGGAATCAAAGACGCAGTTTAAAAAACCTTCTATTAAATGTCTCACCTTTGGAAGGCTTGAGAAGGTTATAATGGCAGACATTGGGGCTCCCTGTCCAGGCCACGGCCACACTGTTGGGACGATCGTTGCTGGACTCCAGGCCGGTCACCAGGAGGAAGCTTGGGTTGAGGAAGACACACATGGGCCGAGGGCTGGAAAATCGAACAAGAGGTAGGTGCAGATATTGTTACATTCTGCGTTGCATCTTCTTTGTCTGGTGTCTTGAGCTCAAGATTGCATGGGCAGTTTTGCCAGATTAGGTTTGGGTGGCATGGGTGGCTAATGCGTAAAGCGCTTGCCTCTCATCACTGTGGTCCGGGTTCGAATCCCGGTTCGGACCATACGTGAGTAGAGTTGTGCGTTGATTCTCTCCTGTGCCACGAGGCATTTTCTCCGGGATCTCCGGTTTTCCTCCCTCCGCAAGGAAGAAACACCTCGTTGTAGCCGCGCCTTTCGCAATTCAGCTTCTCAGCTGCGAGTAAGGATGATTAGCCCCTAATTATTATAATTATTATAAGTCAAGCCTGTACATTTGTTGTGGGTGTGTCGTTAGGCACGACACTGTACTCAATTTATGTAAAGATGTAAAGCTTAATGTAATAAACATGTAGTGCAAACTTCCCACTCTATCACCTTGAACAAGTCCCTCAACAAGTACCCACCATCTAAGAAAAGAAACTGAGAAACGGGATGTTCCTGGCGTACCATGATTCTTAAATGTTGACAGCAAGGTACAAATCAGAAACACTAACATTATAAAAAGAAGCATCACCCTTGTGCAACATTCCTAGTCAAGAAAGGGAAGTGCTTTTACTTCGTGAGTGGTTTCAAGGGCGGATCCAGAACACAATTTTGGGGGGGCAAAAAAAATTTTGGGTCCCCCCAAAAAGTGGGTCTAAAAAATTACGGCGTGGGGTTCGGGCCCGCGAGGGCCCCGAAAATTTTTTGGATTCTAGATGCTCTGTGGTGCGATCTGAGGCAATTTCTGACCACTTTAACCAATTTTTTTGAGGAAAAGATGGTGGTGTACTCATTGCCTGCCTTTATTGCGATGTCACATTAAAAAAAAAAAAAATTGGTTTCGTTTTGGGGGGGCCATGGCCCCCTTTGGCCCCCCCCCTGGATCCGCCCTTGAGTGGTTTCTGCCCCCCTCCTTTTGAAGTTTGGAGGCACCAACTGAGGCACCCACTGAGGAACCAGCCTTCCTGTGAGGGCCAGTTCATACCTTGGCACAAATGTACACACCAAAGTAAAATGTACACGCCATAAGTAAAACTTTGCCAATGCCAATATAAATTTGGTGCATAACAGCAAGTTTTCTCACCGCAAATTTGCAGCAGTTGAATACATTTCAAATGTAGCAATTTCACTGTGAATGTTTTTCGACACCATTTCTGCTTCGTATTCACATTCGCTTGGGGTACAACTGCCAATGTAGTGTCTTACATTGATTCGCATTGGTTCAGAGCACCCTTTATGTTTATAGTGCGCATGGCTTATCAAATAATACCCACCAGGCTTTGTCTTCTTGCTCATTCAGGAACCGTAGCTGGTCCTGGTGCTGCTGCCTGAAGACCTGTCTGCGTTTCTCCAGGTGCTGATCGCTGACAAGGTGCTGTTTGGTGCCCAGACCCACAACCTGGCCCTCGTCAATTGCCCGAAAGACCGATGCCACAGATCCGGTCACACCTAAGGGAAAGAACGAAAGGTTTGTGGATATGACTTCTGAGCTTCAGCTAGAAAGAAAGAAGCGTCACCCTTGTGCAACATCCTTAGTCAAAAAGGGGAAGTTCTTTGAAAAGAATGTTGCATCCTGACGCCACTTTTTTTCATCATATAGTATCTCAATGAAGGTCAATCATTGCAAAAATGTTGAAAAGACATGAATCTGGGACTGAGAAACAAGTCCAACTTTGTTAAAAACATTGAAAATGCACTCAACTCTCTTTAGACTTTGTACACAACCAAAGAAGTGGCGTCAGGATACATTATTTCCAGTTCTGTTACTTCGTGAGTGGTTCCTGCCCCCTCCTCATGGCCTAATGGCATATTCTTTGCTAGGAATCCACCTGAATCTTCCAAATTCCAACAAATGAATGTGCATCAACTCAGTAGCACAATTTTCTTGTACTTTATCTTTTTAAGGGGATAAATTTAAAGCTCCGTGTGTAAAATACAGGTCGGCTCATACTAGTTTACCATCATGAAACATTTGCAACGCCCAAGATTTGAAATTGCCGAAGTTGAAAAGCGTACAACTTTTGTGCATTTGCAGCACTCACACTTTTATGTTGTGACTTCAAAAAGTCACTTAATCAATAACAAATTGAGGAAACGGACATGGCTGAAATTTTTTTGTACTATTGTCGATTACGGTAGACTCTTGTTAATTACAAACTCAGTCGGACCTAGTCAAATCAGAATTTTGTATTAAGAGGAGCAATAAATACTGTGCGCATAAATATACGGTCAGGACCAAGGCTTTATGTTTGCTATAACCAGAATTTGTATTGAAAAATAAAAATCAAAAACTTAGAGCGGCCTGATATTTTCCCTCTTTAGCAAAGTTTTCTTCAGAGGCAAAATTGATTCCATACGTGTTTATGTTAGAGGGGAAAAAAATGCAAAAATGAGGGGGGGGGGTTCTGTTTGTGGCATCTGATGACATATTACATACCCCATGATATTCAGAGAAAATTATCACATAGAGGCTTGGCCATGCCATATTTTCAGTCACAAGAGGTGACTTTCTGGACATCCGCTCCGTTCACCGGCAAAGAAACTACAGTTGGGGGTGACCGACTGACGCCCGACTGACTGCAATTTTGCCGCGACGCGCGGCCGTACGTACCATGCCACTGTGTGCACATAGTACAAATTCCCTGGTGTACGTGCGTCGCACACAATGAACGGTGATCTTCAACCAGCTAAATGTCCCGCCCATGGGAGGTCGTTGCTAGGTAAAAGGGCGCCCTCTTTGGTTGGCGCACGGAGCCCATAACAGACAAATGTTTCCACTCTATATCTGGTCTGGTACCCCAAAGTGTCAGCCCAGTGCCAGTTTTTCCAATGGTACATCTATTCTCACCAGTCAGAGTAGAGGGCGGTGGCCTGACCCGGAGCACTGTAGTGGGTTTGGACATCTGTGACACGTTCAGGCTCGGTGCTGCTACTGTTGCTGGGGTAGTGGCATGTCCCCCTGGGTGGGGAGTTGGCGAACCCCTGGGGGAGCCTGATGAGGTGGACTGCAGGGATTGGAGTAATAACGAGACAAATGCCCATTTGATGCTTTGTATACATGTAAGTGTACAAAAAGTCTGGAGGTCAATACATCACGTGAAGTGACCAGTGCCCAATTTCATCGCTGTGTTCAATAACCACACAATTCCGCACTTACGATCACCATTCTGTGCTAACCGCGCAAGCAGAAATACTCTGTGCTAACCCTGTAAGCACAGAATCCCTAGTAATGGGATGTACGCATGTGCACAAGCCAAATATCCAGGCTAATAACCCGTGTAGTATGGTAACCGTAAGTAGAGATTTTTCACTAACGGTAAGCAAGGCCATAAAATTGGGCCTTGGTCTTTAAGCCGCATATGATTTTAATACTTGGCTTTTGTCAGCAATAACACACGCAACTATGGGAAGTGCATGAAGCTATTTCCATAATAATAATTACTGGCCAAGCAATTCAGACAGGCAAAACTCAAGGTATCGACTTCAGTTCAAAATGTCTAATTACACGGAACTGCTACACAGAAAATATTGCTCAGTGAATGTACGTGTACTAAACATTTTAAGTTAAGAGCCAGTCACAAACAATACATGTCACTTGACATGTTGACAGGTAACATTTTGTCACTGTAAAATTGTTCCATACCTTTGCTATGTCTGTTGTAATACCCTCGATGGACGTGGCCATTTCAATGCTAGAATCCTGTCATGAGTAGATACAATCAAGACAATCAATAAGTGTTTGCCATTAAACGTTTCACGACACTTTTAAAGTCTTCTTCAGCTGGCAACTTTCTCCCAACCCTACCATGCCTACGGTAGTATCAAAATAGAAAAAACTGATAATTCTTGACGGTTCCTTTGTCTATAATTCTCCAATTTTATTCAAAAATGGGCACAGGATATACTGTGGGTGGAAATACGGTAAACGTTTGCAAGTTTCAATCTCTGACCAGTAGATTTGAATAATAATCATATATACATTTATATTGCGCAAATTCCATATGAATATGATCAAATGCGCATCACAATTATTATCCCTGTTCATCAAGAATGAGACCATTTTTTTTCTGCAGCAGCTTGAGATCAGTGCAATTTGGTCTCTACCTTCACAGGTACCCATTTATACTCCTGGGTGGAGAGAGGCAATTGCAGTAAAACGCCTAGCCCAAGAGCACAAGCACCATGCTCCCTGTCAGGGTTCGAACCCATGTACCACGGCACACGAGTCGAACACCGTAATCACTGGACCACAGCGCCCGATCTGATCTTTGGAAGTTCAAAGGCTCAGTTCTTAATTCAATCTCGAAGTCAAAATCTTACTAGTTTGTCGGCTTCTACTGGTTTAGCCTGCTGCTGCTGTTGTTGTTGTTGTTGCTGTTGTTGTTTGACTGCATTGCTATGGGCAGTCTCTAATTCTCGTAACCAGTTATCTCTGGGTAGATGCCACACATCAAGCCAAACATCTGTTCCATCTAGAACATCACCAAAAAAAGTGATCCTTGTCAGTTTTTCCTAACTAAGAGCCGTATCTTCTCCCACTGATCCCAAAGTGTGATTTCCTAGGTTTGTAGAATTGCTAGTATTGCTAGCTAGCACCACAACTTTGGGTATATCATCCCTGGTCAGACGACACCATATGGGGTTCGGATTTGGACTGTCATCCCATAAACAGAAATAAAGTGGGCGAGTGCCGACATAGGGCTGTAAGTAGGTGTGAGTCTGCCATGACACCAAACGAAAGCAAGAGTTTGTGTATAGTTATTTGTGTATGGTTTTATAGATGGCATCCTTTCATTCATTGCTGACTTCACCATGCTAACCTCCAAATCTTATCTAACATAGGGCTGGATTGCCCAGTTGTCGTGGGTTCGAGTCCCACCCGAGTGATTTTTTCCAACTTTCACTCGGGAGGTAACACACTGAGTATACAGTGTTTAAACGTCGGTGAAGGACAAAACCTATAATTTGATATATCACCCCGACGCAAAACTTCCATCTTATAATAGTTTATGCGGTACCCGCTGCTATGTACATCAGATTCGAACCGGCCAACCGATCCCGTTAGCTCGGTGGTTGAGTGGTAAGACATCTGCACTAGAAAGCAGGAGGTCGTTGGTTCGAGTCCCACCCGAGTGATTTTTTCCGTCTTTCACTCGGGAGGTAACACACTGAGTATACAGTGTTTAAAAGTCGGTGAAGGGCAAAACCTATAATTTGTAAGATGTTCTTGAGGTAGTGGGTTCAAATCTCACTCCAGTCACATTATATTTTTCTGGACCTTACAGGCTCCGTGCACAAGTACGCCCTCAATGGTAAGAAAGGGAGAGTTGGGGAAGATCGCTGGGAGAGACATTCGAACATATTTGCCAATGATGCCTGACGTTCACACAAAGATGCTATGGCTTTGTAATTGGGCACATTTAGAACAAAATGAGCTGTGCATACTTGGTGCTGTACGGGCACCAACCTGGGCCCAATTTCATAGCACTGCTTAACAGTAAGCAGAAAAGTTGTGCTTACTATAGCAGAAAATCATGCTGCTGCTTAAGCACTATTTCATGCCAACGGTTGCGCGCGCATGGAGATTTATATTGTTACGTCACTGATTTAAGCAAAGTGTTCTTCTGGGGTTAAGCGTGCTTTTGCTGTGCTTACTGCTTAACGGTCCCTATGAAATAGATGGAGGCTTGGTAAGCACAAAGTCGGCTGTTAAGCAGCGCTATGAAATTGGGCCCAGTGTATGCAAGCGGTGTGTCCCGCCCACAAGGAATTTCTGCTCTGGCACAGAGTCCATATTGATTAAAAGTGAAGCCTGTCAGTGTCTCTTTGTGTTTTTGTTCTACGGATACTTACTCTGAAGAGCAACTGACACATAGTCCCCATCACGAGAGATGAATGCATCAGTGATGACCGACCCAGCACTATCCTCATTGAATGTCTTAATGGGAAGAATTGCATCAAAGGCTGAACAAAGAAGTCTACCGGTGCCTAGAATTCATGAGGTTTGAAGAAAAAAAAGAAATCGGCTTTTGGATGAAAATATTTGAGCTATAATTCCAGTAGATTTGAATATTAATGTCAAACCAGGCATTGTATGAGCAAGAACAAGCAAACATGTACTGCATTGGCTTTATGTTTTATGCAACCTCAAAGGTAGGGGGTGGGGAGGGCGGATATAATTTACAAGTTCATGACATACCAGCTGTATCTATAGCTACAATGAGGTACGTCTGCACGCCAACCAGGCAGATCTTGAGAGAGCAGATGCTGACGTCTTCCGATCCGTGATCCCAGGATGCAATGGGAGCCTGAGTCATTGCATCGATCATAGTAATCCCATGAGGCATTCCAAAGAACACATAGCGGCCATCAGGGCTGTCTGCCAGACACAGTGCTTGGCCATAGTCCTAGATTTCAAAGAGAGTTACATGTCTACAACATTATCTCATCAAGAGCAATTAGATATTCTTTTGACTTTTTTGCTATCCTACAAGTACTTGAAGGTGATTTGATATCCAAGGCATATTAGAAGGTTGAAGAATTAAGGATGGACAAATGTAGGCCCTGTAGGAAAGAACAAATTAATGTGATTTTTGAAAGTTGATTGATTAATTTTACTAGTATCAAGGGTATTTTTTGGATCACTTCAAGAAGAAAAACTAAGGAAGGGAATGGAAGGACAAAGATGGAGTAAAGCTTTCGATGGATGCAGTTTGTTTCCTCTTTCTGAAATTCTACTGTGACTGTGGGAACAAAACTAATTCCCTTTCCATGTACATTTTCGGACTTATGAGGCGTCGGACTTATGAGGCATGACACTTATTAATTCCGCCTCATAGGTCCGATGCTGCATAAGTCCGACGCCGCATACGTCCGATGCCTCATAAGTCCAAAATAGTGTTTGTCCATTGTCAGATTTATGAGGCGTCGGACTTATGAGGCGTCAGACCTATGAGGCGGAATTTATGCCTCATAAGTCCGACGCCTCAGAAGTCTGAATTTTCGGACTTATGAGGCATCGGACCTGTGAGGCGTCGGACTTATGATACGGCCCCGCATCAGACCATCTAATTAGAGTTATGGGGCCTCCTTCGCTCCTTAATCTACACAGCTATAATGGCCCGATTCAAAAAATTTGAAGTGGTATCAGTCTATTACTTTCTTACCTGACAACTTACTTTCCCACTACATCGTGGTCACTATCAACTCACCGGTAACGGAATAGCGCAGTCGTACTGCGGCGGCCTGACGCGGGATTTCTCGGCGATCCTAGCCGACTCCCTCTCGCTGATGACCTCCCAGGCCAGGTCAAAGATCAAATTGACGATCTTGTTGACAAGACGGAAGGGCTGGGGCAGCACGTCGTACATCTGCTCCGGGTCCCGGATGTAGTCCTCCTCATCGCTGGAGCGGTTCCCCAGGGACTCTGGGGTGATGGACAAGAGATTCTTGCGCACGTAGACTGGCATGGCGAACAAGCTGAGTTGATCAACGAAAGCAAACTATAAAAAATTAAAATGAAACGCCTGTCAACCATCAGGCAACAGATCTTCAAATCAAAGGATCGGTCTTGCATATTCATTGTAATCTGCACTGCAAGATGTGTGCACACTGATCACAGTTCACACTCTTCATTAGACATGTTGAGGAACAACAAAAAAATTCCCCTTTTTTTGAATTATTTTTTGTGCTTTACAGAATCTGATAGAATTCAAATTTGAATTTAAATATTTCTTGTAGGCCTTACTTTCTCAACAAATTCAAAATCTAAAGCAACTTAGGGCTGTGCATCAGAACCGCGGGTACATAAGTACCTGATCTTTGTTGTCGGGAACCGGCTCCAAATAACTTAGTAACTTCTCAGACAATGAAAAAGCAAGGTTTTGTGGGGTTTTGTGGGGAATTTCAAAACGAAAACCAGCATACATGGGAAAACAAAACATAGTTCACGTTTATGATGCTTGCAAAAGTTGCAATTTACACCATATAAAGCTCTACAGCTCACTGTATACACTTGTATCTGGCTGTGCTGATGCACGATGTACATTTGTAAACATGTAGTATAATCGTGCAGACGTTTATGAACAATCTGAACAGCAACTTCCAAGATCTGAATTTTGGGGTTGGGTTTCTTTAAATTTTAATGGGTAGCCTACCTGGTTACCCATGTTTTTTGGGGGTTTTTTTCGAATCAGTTACCCAGTTTCCATACGTACTACCCATAAATGCACACCCCTAAAACAAAAAAATTATTATATGAATACTTGACAAAAATGTGTTGGGTGCTTTTGGTAGGGTAGATCTGCATGATCAGTCGATCGTGCCATGCCATATCATGCTGCCGGCGTAGCTGGAGTTACCCATTCCTAAATTTTATCATTGGGTTGTCCTAAATGACAACCCAATGGGCAATGATAAAATTTAGGGCTGGGTAACTCCAGCTACTGCCGCCCCCGGACTGCCGGCGTTGATTGCTACAGCAGTCAACAACCTTTTCATGTCATTCACGACTCTGCTGAGTGCTGGAGGATTGTTTTGAAAAGGGGAAGTAAAGTCTGAAATTTCCTACACGGGATCAACCGGTGGCACAGATCATACAGTCATCATGCATGTCATGGCAAAAGTGACAACATGCCACATCACTGCACTGATCACAGTGACAGCGCTTCACAGTCACACATTGACAGCTTTTTGCACTGCAGCAGTGCAGGGTAAACATTTCATCAAAACAAAGCCGTAACATGTATATTCAATGATCAAGCCAACTTACTGACGAGATTTTCCCTTGGTTTAATGTTTAAACATAGAGCAAGAGAATCGGCCAATTGCCACTTTCAATATTTTGACATTTTTGATGATATTTGTGATGACATTCATGACACTATCACGAAAAATTGTGCGATGAACTTAGCAACAAGCAACAGTTATTTAGCGCCCTCAATTGTCGTCGTGCCCTCTATATTGAGGGCGCTACATAAGCCAGCTAGCTCTGAGGTTTGCTTGTCAGAACGTCGAAATTTGCTGGAAAACTCGACTAGCGTTACGTCTAGCTACGGCCATACGGGGTAATCAAATGTTTGTTATTTGGGGCTTCAATTTCAGAGAATACATTTTGAAAAGATAACGTTAATTTACCCTTGTAAATTACAACGGCAACTTTAGATTTTTCATGACAATGTGATTGTGAATGACGCTAATTTTGGTTGCCCAGTTTCCGGACAAATCACTGTCAGCGTTGGTTGTCGCAATGTTGGGTGGCTAATTTTTGAATATATTTTCTACACTTGTTTTTGATGCGCTTTTGTAGAAAAAAAATGAAATAAATATTTTAATATTAGTTTGAATTTTGTCGGAATCTGCAAACAAAAGAAAATGGAATTAAACCAGACATGACACTTTGCCAGACCAGGATTTTTTTTGAGACAATGAAATGTGTACATTTAAGGCAGAGTAAAAATTAAATGTGATTATTTTGCATACAAAAAGGAGTGCAGAAACATGATTGAAATGCTCAAAATGCACATTTTCTTAAAATCTTTGTCTTTATTCATGCTTATTTGATTATTTCAATAAATATGTGGCAGACGGCAATCATGCATACAGAAATCTAAAATTTGAATTTAAAGGTATAGTCCATGATTTTTAATTTGTGCATTCAGTTCGTTTGAAGCAACAAAAGTTCTCAAATCTAAAGAAGGGTGCTGAACAACTAACCTGATGAACTTTCAGCTCAGCTTCAGCTGTACATTTCAAGAAAACCAACATTCCAGGATCTCGATCTCAAATCAAAAGTTACTGAATCATGTTTTGAATTGGGCCTGAATTCAGCATCCTAGACATGTTTTAACTGAGCCGAATGCAGCTACGGGATGTCGCTCACTGATTCGACGAATTATAGCAAATGCGCGTGCGTGTGCGTCGTGCCAACGCTTGCGCGCGCTTCACCGAATAAAAAAAACGAACTACTAACGGAAATTTCCAATGGTGCGACTTAATACACACCATTGGAAAGGCTTTCTTTCGTGGATTTCTTCAAAATGACAGCATGCCAGAAAGAATAATTTAACAAGGAATTTAGTTCCCTTATCTTCAACCAAGTATGTTTTTCGGTTACACCTCTATGTTCCGACACCCCAATGTTCCGACTGCACATATTCCTATTCCTAACCCTAACCTAACCCTAACCCTAACCGGGAGTAACACAATCTAGGTTGTCGGAACATAGGGGTGTCGGAACATAGAGCAGTCACCTGTTTTTCAACAACAATTACGTCAGACACTTTTTGGATACATGTAGCTGCAAATGATGGACTGTAGCTTTAAATAGAACAGTATGAATGTGCCCCCCAAAAATCACAATTTTAATCACAATTTCCTATTCAGAAAAAGGGTCACCAAATGAACAGTGCCCTCACACATTTTTTAATGCAGTTAACTTAAACGGATTGATACGGCCAATGATGGCCAGGTTGGGTTGGGTTATGGTGCCCCATGACAAACTTGCCCCTTACCAAATTGCCAGTTTTATGAATATATATGACCTAGCCTAACAAACCTATCACAAAAATAATTTTGAATTTACCACGTTCTCTTGATATGACTAGTATTTTAAAAGGTAAAAAAAATTGAATAATTCGTTTAAAAAAAAATAACATGATGAGGTCATCGTGACATCACTGCAATTTTTGTCTATAACACGTCCTGAAATCCATGCATACGGAGTTTGAACCCGATTGAACCTCCGGTTCTGTAGATATAGGGCCGTAAAATGTACATTTAGGATGACGAGGGCCGTAAAGTATGTACATTTAGGATGATGTCATCATGACGTCATGATTCAGCTAAATCTTCAGATGTTGGTCTAAGTGTGTGCCAGTTTGAAGTTGATCAGATTTGGAAAAGAGTAAAATTGTAAAACAAGAGCTGTTTCGGTGTGAACATCTATAAGACAAAAAAATAAAACAATAGCTATTAAGCTTTAATCCTCATTTGTCTTTCTCGCACAGACTCCCCCCTTAGATACATACCCGTACATGTATGTAGCTGAAGTGTCCAGAGCCTGAATGGACCAGACCAGTTTTGTTGGGTGCCTTCTGTTCGTGGACTGTGGTGATTCCTTGGGCACATTCCAGGGAGAGGTGACAGATGTCAACAAAGACCAGCAGACCATCTCTCTCAAGAGACCCTACTGGAATGGAATCAAGTTTGAAGCCCCAGAAATCACTCTCCGGTAGGTGTACAACAATTTAGACACTTGAATACACTGAATTTATAGTTGGTTTTTGCCCTTCGCAGTTGTATTTTATAAACGCTGAATACTCAAGTGTTGTGCAAGGGCTTGCGAGAAAACTTCACAAGCTTACTCGGGTGAGAATCGAACCCACGACCTCCTGAATACTAGTGCACTCGTCTTTATGCACTCGTTTTAAGTCTTGAGCAAGGTGGATGACAGAAAGACATAATGCATTGTTGTAGACGATTTTATCACAAATCCAAACAAGTCCATCAGAGGTACCGGTAGTACAGTTTTGATAAATTTTGATAGTCTTTAATTCAAACCCTTCATGATGGGATTGCAACAAAACATGTTTTGCGTAAGTGTTGCTTAATATATAAGTTTTTAATTGTTTTTAATTTTTTTTTGTTCAATTTTTTTTTAAAGTTTTCACAAGTTCCTCCTTCAAACATAGACAAATAATGAGATGAGAGCCCCTTTAGCTTGGGTTGAAGTATTGAGCCTGATAATCATAGCCAAACACCAGCACCTCTGACAAACACTATTATGTTTGTGTTATAAAAATCCCAGTGGGTCTAGCCGGCCTCGCCCCACAGGGCATGCATGATTAATCGTCCCTGTCAACCACAATAGTAAACAAACTCATTTGACATGTTTCCCCAATCTCTGACCACAACAGGACACCAGCCTCACAGAAATTACATGGTAGTGTGGCTAGTACCCTATATATTTTAAAGGGACACTAGGTCCTAGAACAGCCCAATTGGGCTACAAAACGCGCTTTGAACGAGATGATGTTAAGTGGAAATAACATCTAAAAGTAGGATATAAACATCCACACAACTATCCTTTCAAAACTGGGCGTTTTTGTGTTATTCCTGTATTATGCGTGCGAGAGCAAATTTCGGGGTCCACTTTTGCGACCCCATAAATTCGAGCTGTTTGGATGCTATTTGTGATTTCATTCGTAAAGTATTGGCCTTTTGCGGACGTTGAAGAAACCATTTTTTTTTGCATTGGTGATTGGTCAAAACTGTTCCCGAGACGCACAACGTGTATATCATACACTGAGAACGACACGAAAAACTTATTTGTACTCTGTCGTGTCTGATGTAAACAAGCGGGGTTTTTTTTCGTCTTTTCTCGGGAACGGTAAGACATTAGGTTGGTTTCCTTTCAACCAGATGTTTGAACTACTATCCAAAACATGAAATGTTCGGGGATTTCAGGACCTAGTGCCCCTGTAAACGGGTACTTCAAAACTGTAGTAAGACTGGAGCTGTGTGTATACATGTAAAAGTGCATTTTGCAGCCCTTGGGAACCCCATTCATACATGTACAGCAAACTGTTGTATGACAGTGGAACAGTGTGTGTGGAAGTACAATGTACAATGGGCAACACAGGGTTAAATTAATTATTACCCTCCTGCTGTCTGAACAGTTACAGCCAATCAAAAAATCAATTCTCTTCCCCTGCCATACCTTTTACACAGGCTAGTCACCAACAGCCAGTTCATATTCCAAGCAAGTGGTAGGCACAGCTGCCAGCTGGCTTATTAATCACGTACAGTCAAAGCACAGCTGTATCAAGTTACATAAATAGTCACTGCCAGTCAATCCTGCTTTATGTGGACTGGGAGCTCTTCAACTGTTGTAAACAGTCACTTGATTAATTTTGAGTGAAAGGAGAACTTGGCACAGAATATATGTTTGCATAGGAGGGTTAACGATAAAAACCTCCCAATGTACGTTTATGTTTGTTTGTTTTTTCCTTTAGAGCTGTAGACATAAGGGATTTAAAAATCCTGCAGTCCTTCGAAGAACACAAAGCCGACGCACCCGAGAGAAAAGACACAATCAAAACCTCCCACAGCGCACCCCTGCTCAATGGAGCAGACGTGGTCCAGCACAGCAATACACCAAACAGCAAGCACAGAGCGTCAGATAACGACAGACAGAGGACACCAAGGAAACAGGATCGACAGTCCGGCGGCGGTGCGCACAGCAAGACGCCAACAAAACAACGCAGCGGGGATGCGTCGAACCAGAAAAATGCTTCAGGGGGCAACCAGACGACGATATACTCGGGTACTCAGCACTCAGCATTTCAAAGAGTTCAGAAGGAGGAGGGCAAAGGTCAAGGGTCAGAGGAGGAGAGAGAAGCAGCGGATTCTGAGAAAGGAAGAAAAAACAGATACTACTCAGGTAGGCTCTTGGAAAAATATTTCTGTAAGGCTGTGTCAGAAAAGCAACATGTTTCATTGACATTCCGTGACAGTTTGTCCTACATTTTCAGTGCTGGGGGGGGGGGGGGGGCACAGAGCTCGAAGACTACTTCATTTCCAGTCCGCAAGAAGCAAGAGACAATTTTCAATCTTAACTGGAACTTGTTTTAATTACTGTTCTTATTTTGGCACACACACACTAGGTCCATTACACATTTGTGATGCGATCAAGCTAAATGAGTCGTTTGTCGGGAATTTTTATTTGGAGATACAGGCCAAAATAGGGCCACTTCATCACATCTTTTCATCACATCTCTTGGTGTTCCAACTAATATAATTTTTGAACTAAAGATGGTATCAGCATGCAGTTTTCACAGCAGTAATGCTGAGATTGTGCTCTTTTCAAATCTGTAATACAAACAAATTTGACCAGGGTCGACAAACGACTCATGTAGCCTGATCGCAGCACATTTGTTGACTGACAACTGAGAGGTTTTTGGCATTTTTTCATCAGGAAACTTAGACACCAACCAGAAAGTGCGATCCTCGCCTCGCAAAATCGACGGCGGCCAGAAACAGAGGCGCAACTTTGGTGCAAACGCCAGAAACGAGGAGTGCTTCAGCGCCCCAGTGGAGTCATTCCTCGCAACGGACTTTGACTTTGACAAGAGCATGAGATCCTTCAACAAGGCCGCCATCTTTGAGGAGATCACTTCGACAATGGCCATGGGAGACAACAAGAAGAAGGTGAAGAATATCCCCCACGATGAGCATATTCTGTTGGAGAATGTTCCAGCTTTCCTCCATGACAAGGGGGGCAGACAAGTGAAGTGCACCTCCTATACATCAGGTAAAAAGTTTGGAAAAGTCTACCCCAGTTGCAGTCACGTCATCACAAGTCAATCACAAGTTTCTCACATGTTATCCTGTCTCAAACAAGCTGTTCATATGATCTGTGACAAAGGCATTCCCTCTTTTACTGTACATCCTCTCGTACCGGACTTGTGGTTGACCTTATGTGACTTTAGTGTCAATATGTGAAGTTAAGGATACATGTAATAAAAATTCAAACATGATAGTAAGTGTGAGAAACTTACTTCTCGCTCTGCCATCTCCAGAAACTGGTGTGGTCATCCCAGCAGCATCTGTAGACATGGTCCAGAGCCTGTACCAAGCAGCTGACAAACTGGGTCTGACCACTGAGAGGAGACTCGAAGCTGGTGGTGTGAGCGTCTCTAAGATGGCTTTAGACCTCATCGTTGGGAAAACCAGGTAAAAAAAATATGGCCGTGTCTTGGAAAGTAAGATGAGTGCAAGATAGGCCTCAGTTTTAATGGGTTGTTTATGTGTGTTCAGTTAGCGTTGTTCTTTGGTTCAAGTTCATCTATATCGTTTTATATATTAAGGGAAAAGCTGTGGAGCACCCTCTTTCAAATGCATGGAAAGGTTGTGCGGATTTGAGGCTTGATGTTCTCATGAGTTGAAAGAATTTGCCATTGTTTTCCTATCGCAGTGGATGAGTTTGGGATAAAGCCTGGCAAAAATGCCTTGGAATTTGAGGGTTTTTGTTTTTTTAATTTTGCAAAATAATTGGCAATATGATATTTAATTCCCATTGTAGCATTTTCAGTCCTTTCAGTAGAAGGATTTGGATATTTTTAGAACTCAAAAGGCAAAGTAACCTCCATAGACTGCAAACTGCAACATTCCTTCTTTAGTCACTGACATTTTTGTTTGTGTATATTTCCCTCCAAATTGTGTCCTCTCTATCAGGGTAGCTAATCAGCCCTCCGTTCTTGTCGTCTGCGGCCCGCACCTACAGGGGGCCCAGGGCATCAACTGTGCCCGGCATCTGGCCAATCACAACGCTGACGTCATACTCTTCATGCCCAACTTTGCCAAGATGCCCGAGGTGGTGACGGCAGAGCTGAGGCTGTTCAAGGAGACATCTGGGAGACATGTGACCAACATCAAAGGTAACAATGTGATTCCTCCATAATATGGGTAATCCTTACCTTTAGGACCCCTTTCCTATATAAAATTATAAGGTTAAACGACTCACCAAAACAGCTGACAAATGACACTCAAAAGTGACATTCTGATATTTCTTGGCACATTTGAACATTTGCCAGTGACACCTCTTGAATATCAGCAGGTTTAATTTTGTAGAAAGAGGGCAGGGCTTTGATTTAAGAGGGGTTAAAGACGACAATGACAAACAGAAGATATATTAAAAAAGCAAGATGGCGAACTGCAAAAAAAGGTAGGAAAGTCACATTTTCTTTGAAAGTGCTTTCAAAATTACAACTAATATAAGTTTATATGAAGAAAAAAGACTGCTTTAGCCTGAAAAAGTCACTTTGGTACTGGACAGTCGTCTGCAAAAGTCAGTTTTGAACAGAACTTGTAAAAAATAGAGGTGTCCTAAAAGTAAGGATTACCATAATATGCTCGAGACAAAAATCAGGATCTGCCACTGAAAATTTCCTTTATTTAACATCAGTTGGGCCTAAATTCTCCTACATTAAGAGGTGTGTACTGAAATCTCTTGAATTCTTTTAGATTTGGGGCATATACTGATTCCTTTCTCTTTCACATGAAGTTATGAACGACAACACAAGTCAATAATGGAAACTCGGTTGAATTTGCCGCAAACTTGGAGATCCTATTTCAAAATCAGAAACATCCATTCACAATTTATGTACCTTCCCAATTAATTTGCTAACAATCTGCAGGGTTCCCTTAGTCATGGAAAATCCTGGAATTTAAAGGGAAAATACAACATTTGCAAACATCAAAAAATAAATCTACCAAATTATTAGGAAATATTTTGCTGGACTGTTAGTGAATGACAGTCTAAAGTACCGGTATCCTGTAAAATCATGCACTTGGTGTACTTTCATTTTCAAGAAAAGTGGTATTTTGTATCAATTTCTAACACTGGTCGGCTGACCAGCGTTGGAAAAACCTGGCTTTTTTTCAAATACTTGCCCCAATTGACCATATTTAGTTCTAAGTTTGCATTTCTTTGCAATCGATTACACACCTGTGAATGGGTACAAGCCAGCTAGACTGGTTCCCTGACCTTACAATTCCCTAACCTCTATATATTGCTCAGTTTCATCTTAAATGGAGTCAGGGAGCTAGACAACAGCAAAATGATTGTTTTTATTGGTTTTTATAGCATCCACGAACCCAAAACGTCAAAAAAAGTCAGTGTAACAATATTTGCCATAAAATACTAACCTCCCAAATCCATCCATTTCTGAAAATTACAACAAAAGCAAATGATGTATATTCCCTTTAACGCTGTCGTTGAAAGTCATGAAAAAGTCATGGAATCCTGTTCAACCCATAAAGGATGATGCATAATACGTTGATTTAGCTATGGCAGTCTTCCAGTTTACTATACTTCCTCTTTTTATGTATGCTCTATACTGGTTGCATGTTCAGTGCACCATTGTGATGTCTTTGTGGCGCTCAGTGGTCTTTGGTCAAACTGGAAGGCTGAAAGGGAGTGGCATCCCTTGCCTCAGTGGGATGCCTGGCCATTGTAGATACAATCCTTAGATGTAAAAACAGCATAGGAATTCGTCATGAAAAGCCCTAATTTTTTTTTTGTGGGAACCCTCATTTGAAGAAAACAAGATGGCACAAAACAAGTTAATGATTATACCAAATTCAAAGAAATCCACCCTAGCACTGTAAAAGGGTTTGATTTCAATTTTATTACTTGAAACCACCTTCGTTGTGGATAAAAGCACAACCATTCTGAAAAGGAAACAACTTTTTATTGATGAGGTGCTGATAAAAATTAAAGGTAACGTCCATCATTTGTAATTTGTGCATTGTGTTTGTTTGAAGCAACAAAAGTGCTCAAAATCTAAAGAAGCCGGGTGCTGAAGGAACTACTAACGGAAATTTTTAATGATGCCTCTTTAGACACATCGTTGGAAAGGCCTTCTTTCTCTTTCATCGATTTCTTCAAAATGACAGCTTGCCAAAAAAAAACTTTTTTAGTCCCATTACTATCTTTAAACCAAGTATGCTTTTCAACAATAATTACGTCAGTCCCTTTTTGGATATCTGCAAATGATGGACTGTACTTTTAAAGAAAACAATACATTTCTGACAGAGAGCGTGCTGTTTTACATTTACACTGACTATATTAGAGGCAGTGTGCACTGCTGTGTGAGATGCACACGGTGAAAACACCTAGGTCTGGGTTTGTTATGCTTTTAATAGGGCTCGTTCAATGACCGCCATCTCTGTAGGAGAATTGCAACTGCGTATTGTACGCAATCAAGCACGCATTGTGCAGTGTTGAAAATGTTCCAAACACGCGCTTGTTGCTCGAAATGTGTTAGAATTACGACACTGCTGATGCGCGTTATGCAAGTTGACGCTCAAAATGCCTATGCACGTGGCTGGTCTGTAGGAAAGGACGTCATCTGAACGAGACCTATAGTACATGTGTATGGAAACGTGGGTACCTGGTTCCCAAAATGTCCGTTAAAGCACAGCCCTAGACTGTAATATCTGTTTTGTAACTCTTTTCTTGTATTCATCGCAGACTTGCCAGAGGAACCCCCAGATCTGATCATCAGCGCCTTGGACACGCCAACCGACACCTCCCTGTCCAAGCAGCCCTGGCTCAAGAGCATCGTCACTTGGGTCACGGCCAACAAGGCCTCGGTTCTCTCCGTCGATCCAAGTCCCAACCACAGCGTCCGGAGCAAGTGGTCCGTCGTAACGGCTCTACCTCTGTCCTACGACAACACTAATGCCGGCTTGCTGTATCTCTGTGACGTGGGCATTCCGTGCAAGGTTTTCAGTTCGGTCGGCGTGAAGTACACGTCACCGTTCAAGGACAAGTTTGTTGTGAGGCTTCATAATCGTTAAATGGCTCAGGAAAACTGGTGCATGTATTGTCATGATATCGTCAAAACTTGTTGTGTTAGTGCTGTAAAAACATTTCCTTAAATGTTTCATTCCCTATTTATTTTATACAGGACCTAATCATCTAAACAGGATATTTTCTATGCTATTTTCATGAAAAGAAGAAAAGGGAAGTTCTTGCATGCAGTTATTTAAGCTAAAGTGAAAAATGGTTTTAAAATGAATATGTGGTTACCATATTCTTTTGAATATAATTTATACCTTGATTGCATTTTGTAAATGCATATTTTTTAGAAGTATTAACCTAAATACTCTAAAATCTCCACCATCCAACAACAGGTTTGCAGTTGTTTTATGGGAAAGAATGTTGCAACCTGACGCCTTTGTGTTGTAGTCGTGTTATAATTTGCAGAACAGGAAGAGAAATAGCATGAACTAAAGTTGAGGATTATATAGGGTTGTTCATTTACGCTTAGTACAGGAAACGGGTACCCGTTAAAGAAACCCAACGCCAAACATGCCAACATTCAAATCTCGGAAGTTGCTGTTCAGATTATTTACAAAGGTCCACACGATAGTACTACCACATCCGTGCATCAATACAGCAAGATACAAGCGTGTACAGAGACCTTAATAGCTTTGTGGTGTAAACTGCAGCTTTCGCAAGCATTATAATATGTGAAATATGTTTTGTTTTCCCATGTGGCCTGGTTTTTTTATTTTGAAAATTCCCCACAAATGACTTCGAAACCTTTCTTTTCATTGTCTGAGAAGTCACTCAGTAATTTGTAAAGTTGGCTACGGGTACCCAATCCCATTATCTAGAACCGGTTCCTGACATTAACGGTCGGGTACTCGATTCCGATGCACTAGCCCTACATGTAGCATTGTGTTTGTTTTGATGAGAGGCAGCAACTTAGGAGATACAGTCATTTCAGCAGCATTCTACTCATAACACCTTGTGTCAAAGGGATATCTAAAGTTTTACCTATATCCCAGCTTTGTTTTCAGATATTAGCCCCCTGGCTTGGGCGAGAGACTCTGGCTACATACAGCCCATGTACTGTGTCATAACATCGAATCCTATAATATTAGGCCAAAGTATTTGGTCGTATATTTCCTATATTTTCTTCTCCTTTAATGCTTCTAACTTATTCTGAAGCCTCGCTGAAGACAAAGAGACAAAGCCAAGGCTTAAAAAACCCAAACAAAAATTAGGATGTCTTTTATTTGGGAGATGGATTGGGGGGGGTGTTAAACATGGTATCCACCTGTTAGTGTTGGTGTTGCTGTTCTGGGATAATTTAAAATGACTGAAGCAGAGAAGTAAGACTGTCGAATGCCTTTTTTCCAAGTGGAAAAACAATTCATCAACGCAATTGTGCATTTTGTTCTTGAAAGTGAATTAGTTCCCTGGCTACAAAACGTTGGTGCATGTTGTCATTTGGTGCATGTGGTAATGTGTTGACATTTAGTCTGCCTGCAGTAAAAAAACAAATTCCAGCTGATTGAAAAGTCATTGTTAAAGGATGTGGATAGCTTGTCACTGTGATGAAGATAAAAGGGGGAGTTAAATGTTTCGAGAAAACCTAAGCATCATCTTGCTATCTTTGAATCTACATTTACATTTTATGTACATGATTGATAAGGTATAGTGTCAATGATTATCCTTAATTGTGATGATAAGGCAAAGCCATCAGCATTAAGCATTTTTTTGTCTTTCAAAAGTATTCTTTTTATTAGAAGTCGGGTCTGTTTTGATTTTTTTCAAACATATGAGAAAGATGACCCAAACGAAGTATCTGATAGAAGCAAGTGTTTCAAATTCAGGTGTAAAACCAAAGTCAGTTTTCGATTTTTTGAAAAGTAAGAAAAAAACTCGACATACTACAAAGAGGGTTTTTTATGGTGTTGTTTATGTGAAACAAAGTGTCTAACTGGTTCGATGGTGTAATTCAAAGATGCTCTTACCATCACTTTTTTTATTTGCTCGAACGTGTACTTTTCTCTGAGTTGCTATTTACATTGTACCTCCAAATGCATGAAGGGAAAATTAAGAAGAGGAGACCGTTTTTCCTACCAAAACAGCGTGCAGTTAGCACACAGTGCAACTTTTTTTTTCACTTTCGTTGTAATTTTATATTAAAACAAAGGATGTCGATACGTCAAAAACAGCAATTCGGTATCTTAGAATTTTTTTCCCAATCCTGTTTTTTTTTTCATCGTAAAAATAAACCAAAACATATTCATGTATATCATGTGAAATCGTCATTCCTCTTAAAATGTTAACAAAATTCATTGTTACTTTGTGTGCTTAAAGCCCACCGTTGCCGAAATTTCGGACTTATGAGGCGTCGGACATAATTTTATGAGGCGTCGGACTTGTGAGGCATACATTCCCTTCATAGGTCCGACGCCTCATAAGTCCGACGCTTCTTAAGTCCGACAATGGACAAACACTGTTTCGGACTTATGAGGCGTCAGAGCTATGAGGCGTCGGACTTATGGGGCGTTGGACCTATGAGGCGTTGGACCTATGAGGCGGAGTAAATAAATGTGATGCCTCATTAAGTCCGACACCTCATAAGTCCGACACCTCATAAGTCCGACACCTCATAAGTCCGACGCCTCATAATTCCGAACTGTCGGACTTATGAGGCGTCGGACCTATGAGACGTCGGACATGAGCGGACCCACTTTGACGTGACCTCGTGCAATAACTGCAGATGAATCTAATCCTGCTAAATGGGTTTTTCCCGCAGATGAATATCGATCACTCGAGGGACGGACTAAGCTATCAAATCGCTTTTTTTTTCATCACTGCAGTTAAATGGAGTCTTAAATATTTGTGGCTTTTTAAACTCAAGTAAATATATGTTTAAAGCTACAGTCCATCATTTGTAATTTGTGCATTTTGTTCATTTGAAGCAACAAAAGAGTTCAAATTCTAATGAAGGATACTGAGCAACTAACCTGATGAAGTTTCAGCTAAGCTTCAGCTGTACATTCCGAGAAAAACAGCTTTCTAAGATCTCAATTTCAAATCAAAAGTTACTGAATCATGTTTTGAATTGTTTTGAATTGCAGCTATACGCGACGTCGCGCACTGATCCGACGAATTATACAACCGCGCGCGCGTGTACGTCGTTCCAATACTTGTGCGCGCTGCGCTGAATAACAAAACGAACTACTAATTTAAATTTTCCTACGGTGCTTCTTAAGAATCACCGTTGGAAATGCCTTCTTTCGTTGATTACTTCAAAATGACAGCTTCCCAGAAAGAATAATTTCACAGGGAGTTTAGTTCCCTTACTATCTTTCAACCAAGTTTGTTTTTCAACAATAATTACGCCAGTTACTTTTCGGATGGCTGCAAATGATGGACTATAGCTTTAAGTAATGTTTGTAATGTTCGGCAAAGCCCGACCTACACCAGCCAAGCCTGGGCAAGCCCAACCATGTCTGGCCAAGCCAAGACCGGCGGAGAAGATCCTTTTAGACTAGCCAAGACCCGCCAAGACTGTCCAAGTTCGGTTAATCCAACCAAGACTGGCCAATTCCGGCCAATACCGGTCAGACTGGCAGAGGGCCGGGCAAGACCGACCATAGACTGGTGTTGTGTACGTGGGTCACATATTGTGGTGGACCAGGCAAGTTCAGCCAAACTTGGTCAAGCCAGAACAAGTCCGGCCAAGTCTGGCAAAAACAGGAGCAGACTGCTCAAGCCAGGCCAAGGTCAGCCAGACCGGCAAAGACCGGTCAAAATTTGCCAAGCCCGGCTTAATCAGGTTAAGTCACTTGTCCAAGTCTGGCAAGACAGGAGAAGACTGTCCAAGACTGGCCGAGACCCGTCAATAATTGCCAAGGAGGAGGCCCTTTTTTCCCTCCAAATGGCCGCCCGACCGGGCTATTTTCAAGATAGCCACCAGCTTTTTTTTAATGGTCGCCACTTGGACTCAAGAAATGACACACCAGCTGCTTTAAATGGGCTATATGCAACAGACAAAGAGGCTAAAATTACGTCACTGAGTTTAAAATTTATTATTTTTTCGGTTAAAAAAAGAGGTTGCCTCCAAAAAGGAAACGGGCTTGGACGCTAAACATTTATGGGGCCTTACTTGCATAAAAGTAATTGAAACCGCTGCTGTATTTCCGGCCAAGTAACTTGTCTCATTTGTTATAGTGTGCAGGTATTACGGCTGTCATTCCGTAGACGAATCATTGATCCTCGATGTTTTGTCAATAACGTGCAAAAAAACTCGTATCAGTCTCCTAGTGACCGAAAAGATGTCGCTGAACCTGAACTTTGGTACTGTTTGCGAAGAATATACTTATTCGAGTGACTTTACCACCCACTTTGTAAATAAACCGAAGTTAGTAACTTCGCCATGCGAGCAGTTCTGAATCCCTTTGGACAAGTACGTATGCACGTTTTGGGTTTTTGTTTCAGTCAAAGGTGGCTTTTCATATGGCAAATTCTATACTTCTATAATCAAATACACACATATCCAAGCCAAGTGTGCGACGTGACATGCACTGGAGCCACAAACCGTAAATGAACCGTGATGCGCCCCCCCCCCCCACACACTTTTTTTCGTATTGAAAAATCAAAAAGAAGGTGGAATTAGTGATATTTTTCGAACTATACCCAACAAGCAAAATGTAAGTAGCACTGAAAAACGGGGGAAAAGGTACAAGGTTTTTATTGCGCCAGTATGATGTAAGGTTAAGCCGTAAAGCATAATGCCGGGCGGATCCGGACATTTTTTTGTAGGGGGGTGTCAGGCCCGTCAGATACAGATAATTATAACCTCTGCAGAATGCCATCTTTTTTTTATTAATATACATTTTATTCGGCATACAAACAAACAAATAACGAAAATCCGAACAATAAAAAACGTTCAGAACAAGAACGAAAGCAAGAGGCATGCATATGCCTGGAATTGAACAAGTTTACCTACAAACTGTGACCCGAGGGCCTTCAATTCCAATTACTCTGGCTATACACACATAAATGATATTATGAATATATAAAGCAATCTATACAAATCTATTAAAGCAATATGCACATTAAAAAACACAGGTGCTTAATGGTAAAAAGTCGCAAAGATTATCTCCATAAAACATTAAAATACCACTGAAAATGGAAACGTGATTAAAAATATACCAGAAAAATAAAAAATAAGTAAATAAAATTAGAACAAATAGCCTCCCTCTGTCTAAAATCAGAGTATGTTCAGAAAAAACCAAAAGAATTGTGGCTGGAAACGTTTGTTAAAAGAATATAATATTTAATCAGCGAATAATTGTTCACCTATTTATCTAATGGAAAACGACATCTCTATGGTTGCACTAGTACTGTGCCTATAGCACCAAACATTCATCAGTTCAATATTTTTCCCCTTATATTACCTAGTCCGTCTGCCGGTGGGGGAAGAATATGGAAACCAACAGGAACGCGCATTTTTCTTTTAAATTCTGTTGTAAATTTCATTTGAATTTATTGGTAATAACCTCTTCAATGGCATACATTACTTTGGTATTAATATATTTTTAAAATAACTAAAACAAACATGTTTTCTAAACTAAATATATCAAAATTGACTATAGTCAAGCTGACCTACACCGAGCTAATTCCCACTACTCAGTCCAGGAATGAACCATGCTGTATTTGTTTTACTACACCTCATAAATATTTAGTAGCCTCACAGTCTTTTTAGTAGCCTCACTGCCTTGTCGATAACGGCCTTGGTAGATTTTGCATCTTTATTTAGCACAAATCAAATTCATATCGTCGAAATAGTCTGTTGCCAAACACTCTTTGCTGCAGTAGTAACAGGGACTACAACAACAGACTGGTTCCGTAAAAATTGCATGCCATTGACTACATCTCTACGAGGCGGGTTCCAGAGGGAATTTTCGGTGCTACCAGAAAAACACTACCGCACGGCAGCGAGCTGGATACTCATCGGGGATGACGTCACCTGCACGCGTATCATTTTTACTTCCTGGACGCGCGGCCCAGGCCAATGAGGCGCTCTAATTTGATCATGAATATTCATAAGGTGTAGTAATACACTTTGCAGTGGGTTCTGAGAGGAAACTTCTAATTCAGTAAATCCAATCCTTATTTTCTGGTACAGATAAATCAATGAAATGTGATGAGTTGTACTTCAATAATCCAGTTGGAAGGGTTAATTTACCGGCCCAAATTTAAATTTTAAATTGAACACAAAACAAGGGATTTTGTTTTTCTTATGAGATTAGTAAACTCTCTTTAATATATGTATATATTCCCAAATAGCCTGGCAAAATAACCGATCGTTCCAGGGACTACAAAAAAAATTAAGGTATTTCCTCATTGGTTTTTTTTTATAATTATATTGCTTCCCTGCTAAGCTATAATTTGAAATGTCAGCTGCTTTGTAATTGTATCCCATAAATTTTGAAACCAAAGCTTATTCATTGCTCCATTCGCTGTCAGAACTTGACAATTCTACTTCCTCGAAGTACTGGTCTTGCCCTTTAGGGATTTCAGTTATGGAATCTGATTTAGCCTCTCTCGTGACAATGCTATCAAACCATTTTCCGTACTGTAGGGATTCTGTCCCCCGGTATAACTACCACCGACCATCGCGATCCCACCATCCCCCATCTTACCGGACTCGGATTTGATAGCTCGAGCCCTGTATGCCACGCATCCACCTAAGAAAAAGACCACCACAACAAGAAGGCCTATGCTCACCCCCATCAGTGCTTGGATTAGAGTGGTAGCCTCACCCACGGAGAGACTTAGACCAATATTCTCCCCAATTATGCAAGGCTTAGATATAGTAGGCTTTGGAGGAGATGTAGGCGGGGGGGCGCTGTCACAGACGGTATCAAGTCGGACCAGAAGCGTAGAATGTGGTCCCAACCGATGTCAACCCCTGAGCGAGCGTCAGGACAGGAGTCAAGAGTCATGAACTTGAAGTTGTCCGAGTCGAAGTTGGGCCACTCAGCTCCGGAGAGGGACATTCCAGGGTGCCTGAAAAAAAAAATTATACTCTTCATTGGTATTGAAGAAATTACCTCACAACTTGTTGTTTGTCCTTGTCTAAATAATAACATTTTAACAAAGGGCACTACCCTTTCTGTAGCAACTGTTTCACTTGTACTCACCGCCCTGTCCAAGCTCTGTCCAAGAGAATGTGTAATTCTAAATTGAGCTCACATGAGAAATTGCGTTTAGCCGAGGATAACGAGTTTTCTTACCCATCGTGAACGAAGTT